TTTTTGCTATTTCCTTCAAAGCAGCTTGAACTTCTTCCTTCATCACCATAGGCTCTTGCTCATATGTTATTTCTTTAAATTCCTCTGTATCTGATGGGATAGATACAACAATAACAACAACTACCTGATAAAACATGCTGATGATACAACCTTACTTGCAGAAAATAAAGACTGCTTGGAGAACTCATTTATTGATGACACTCGAAGACTTCAATATGGGTTATACCTCAACATAAAGAAAAAAAAATCCTTACAACTGGACCAATAAGCAGCATCATGATAAACAAATAAAAAATGAGGTTGTCAAAGATTTACTTAGATCCATAATCTACTTCCATGGAAGCAGAAGTCAAGATGTTAGATGACATGCTACATTGGGAAAATCTGCAGTCAAGGATTTCTTTAAAGTGCAAAGAGCAAGAATATCTGTTTAATGACTAAGCAAAAATTGTAAGGAGTGGGTAGGGTTTTGCTCTATTGTACATGTGTTCACTATGAGTTGGAGCCAACTTGATGGCACTTAACAATAACCACTACCTAGTGCTATTTATTTACCTTCTTCTGTGCTGTCTACCTCTTCCAAGTAGACTGTGAGCTCCACGAGAGGGAGGCTTCTCCCTATAAATCAGTATCTGGACCACAAAGGCCCTGAAAAAAGAAGAGCTGTTGATTGAATGAATATCACTACAAATGAAATAATATAGCAAAGGTAACATAGCACGTTTTGATTAAAGACATTGATGCTCTTTGTTTGCCGCACTTTACATTTTCCCTTCACATTTCCTAATATGAAGTCTATTCTGCTTAATTTTTCAAACAATTGCCAATTCTGTATATTCTTGTTGTCTGTCCTAACAAGAGTGACTCCTTAATGCTCCAACTTACCCTATCTCTGAATATCCTTCACAACCAGTGCCAGCTGAATGAGAAGAAACAGTGAAAAACTTATCCCTGTGTCTCAGCTGCTCATGTCTGTACAGTTAGGCTACTCATGGATCTGGGAGAGCATCTGTGTGCACTGGTGTCTGCTGATGTGTGCTGGTGTGCAATGATACAGAGATGCTGATCAGAACAGGCAGGGTAGTTTGAAGTCTTGCCGATCTGGTGGCCAGATCCTGCTGTGAATTCCGATATTCAGTACTTTTTCTCTGAAGGGATAGAATTACCCAGATTCTAAGATTTCTAAAAAAGGCTTTCTAATGGGTGGTACAGTCTAGGTGTGAGGAATAGAAGTTCTGCTTGGACAGCAGTGGCATGATTCTGAACCAGAGTTTTAAACTGATTCACACCTTGCTAAGAATTTGCATTTCTCCCAGATTTGCAGAATTATAATCCACATTTTAACAACGTGATTCTTGGGTATATGTAAGATTACTGGGGATCAGGTTTTTCAAAATCAGGTAGTTTCTGACTCAGTCTAGCTGATGTCAAAATGAAAATTCTCAACAGAGTGGAACTTATATTATCAGTCCAAAGGCCTGTTCTGGACACACTGTCTTCTTACTTGCAGCCAGACCCAAAGGAAACAAGGCTACTGGCTAAGCATGCTGAGGGAGCCCAAGAAAGTGATCAGAGTTTCAGGGGGAACAACCATGCCCTGGTGGCTTAGTGGTGAGGAGTTGTGCTGCCATCCCAAAGTATGCAGTTTGAATCCCCCAGCTACTTGGCAGGAGGAAGAGGGACAGTTTCCTTGTATGCAATTAACTGCCTCTCAAAACCCACTGGAGGGTTTTGGTTCTGACTCAATGGTATGTAACAAGAAAACAACAGCAAAAAATATGAGCTAAACCTATCCTGTTGTGTCAGGGGAAGGTAATTAACTAAAGGGTCTGTCATTTAACAAGGGTTATCTGGTGAGTGGCTTGAGGCTTAAACTTTCTTATTAAATGGAAGTTACAGATATTTCTTTCTTTCCCTTAGCTACTGTGGCAGATCCCAGTGTAGATGTAATTGCTCTCTCACGTGAATTACCCCAGGTACTAGAGCTGGGAGGGACTTGGAAGCCCAGAGTTGATCACCGCTCCTTTGTTTTTCTATTAGTGTGATTTTGTGCCTTTTTAGCACATCAAATTTATTTTCAAGTCTTTACAGCAGAGGTTACATAAAATGAATTCATGTATTGGATAAGTGGAGTTGAGTATTGTTATGTGCCATCAAGTCCCAACAAACTCATAGGTGACCCTCTAGTGGATTTTAAGAGGCTGCACTTGGGAGATTCACTTAATACTTGTTTCTAGAGAAAATATTTGCTGAGATTTTGCTATCAAAGAGCAGTGGTTCTGCCATAGAATCACCTTGAGGGCTTGTTAAAGGTAATTGTTGGTATACAAATCTCCATTTGTGTTTCAGTTCTGTTTTCCTTGGGGTACATTCCTAGCAGTGGAATAGCTGCATGTTTATAGCAGAATTACCTATAATAGCAAGAGCATGGGAACAGCTCAAATGCCCATTAACAAATGACTGGATTGAGAAATTGTGGCACATTCACACGATGGAATACTATGCAACACACAGGAGCAAAGATGCTGAAAAATACTATATAACATGTGAGAGTCTAGAGAACATTATGCTGAGTGAACCAACTCAGGTACATAAAACCAAATACTGTATAAGGCTATTATTGTTAAAACAGAAGGACAGCCAGTAAGATATGTGTGGATATCTATCCAAAGAGGGAAGGAGTGGGGGCAAAGGAGCTGAAAATAGGAGGAAGGAAATCATGGGGTTGCAAAGTTTGGGGATGGAGGGAGGGGGTAAAAAGAAGTCAACCAATGTATATGAATGAAACACAATGTAAACAAATTATTGTATACAAACCAATTAGAAAAAATTAAAAAGATAGTTGTTGGGCCCTGTCTCTGGGTTTCTGATTGTGTAGGTGTGAAATGGAGCCTGGTAGATTGCATTTCCAAATTTCCAGGCATGGTGGCTGCTGCACCTGCTCCTAAGACCGTATTTTGAGAACCGTTGTCAGGGAGTAATCCATGTCTGCACTATGTTGTGAGTGAAATGACATATTACTTCTAGTCAACCATTGGCTTAAATAACTTTTACTGATCTACTTGTTTCTGTCTCTTATAAACAGGCACTTTGATGTTGGACTGCATAATTTCCTGATTAGGTAAGCTAGTAATTTTTTTAAGATGTCATTGAATAGCATGCTTATAATGGAAGACTTAAATGGAAAATGAAATCCTAGATCGAAAAATGGCAATTATGTACTTGTCAGAAAAGCATCACTGTTAACATGGTGGGTTTTGTGCCTCCCAGAATCACACATGAGATTATCTTTTTTTAATCAAGAAAAATCTTTGTTTAAAGTGATTTGTATCTGAAGTGCTAGTTATTTAAAAGCTTACAAAAGCTCAGTTCTAACAACTGACCTGCTGGAATAATGAATTGAAAACTGAAGGAGAACTGCCAGTTTGTATTCAAACATTGAACAGCCCACTCTACCCATTTTTTCCTGCATTGGGCTTATTATGTTAAACTGAATCTACTGATTGTTTTGCAGCCATGAAGATACAGCCTTGTTCATAATTGAAAAAAAATTACAGATGGCAGTTTCTAGCCTACTTTATTGGCAATTTTGTCAGAGTTGGCTTGTGGGATATGTTAATTTCAAATAGCTCTTAAACAGGTTAACTAGAAACAAACTAGAGTATTAACATATGGGTGTGAATATGCTTATTTTTCTGGTGTCAACTTTACTGTATTTTCTAATTCCCCCCCCCCCTTACATTGAGACCATTACTTTCATGATGGTGGAAATTAGCATTAAAAAGGCCTGCCAGAAGTGAATTGGGGAAATATAATGGTTGCTCAAAACTGTAAGCTAAAGGTAATAAGGTAACTAGAAATCATGTACAGTGATTTTCTTTCTACAAAAAATGACTCTAAATGCCAATTATTTCTCACATAGTAGTTGTTGTTGTTGTTATGTGCCATCGAGTTGCCTGTGACATATAGTATCCCTCTGTACAGCAGCTCTGAAACCTGCCCTGTCCTGAGCCAGTCTCACTGACTCTGACACACCTACCCCCATTGCTCCAGTTACTGTGTCATTCCTTCTCATTCAGGGTCTTCCTCTCCTGCACTGTCCCTCCACCCTTCCAAGCATGATGCCCTTCTCCCAGGACTAGTCCTTCCTGGCCATGTGCCAAAAATATGTGAGATGGAGCTTCAAAATCCTAACCTCCAAGGAGAAACTTCGTTTTATCCTCTCTAAGACAGACCTGTTTTTTCTCTTGCCGGTCTATAGGGTATGTTTAACATTCTTCTCCAGCATCACAACTCAATGGCATCTATTCTTCTTTTATCCTTAGTCATTGTCCAGCTCTCTGATACACAGCAAGTAACTGCAAAGATCATTGCTTGAATGAGACTGACATCTTTGCATCTCAGTACTCTAGAGAGTTCCCTGACAGCAGATTGACCCAGCTCGGTTTGTCTTTTTATTTTCTGACTTCTGATGCCATGAGTGTTGATTGTGGAGGCAAGCAAGCTGAAATTGTTAACCTCATTCTGTTTTCCATCTATCATGATGCTGCCAGTTGGCTCAGTGGTGAGAATTTTTGTCTTCTTAATGTTGAGCTTCAATCTGTATTGAAGACTACAGTCTTTGACCTTCTGCAGCAAGTATTTAGGTCTGTCTGTTTCAGTAAGCAAGGTTGTGTCATCTGCATAACGTAGGTTGTTGATCCTTCCTCAAATCCTGATGCCACGTTCCTCCTCATAAAGCTTAGCCTCCCAAATTATCTGTCCTACATATAGATTGAAAAGGTAGGGAGATAGAATACTTCCTCCTTTCCTGATTTCAAACCACGCAGTGTTTCTGTGCTCTATTGTGGGGACTGCTTCCTGTCCAAGTATGAGTTTCACGTAAGCACAATCAAGTGTTCTCCTCAAGATTAGCCCTAGTTCGTTGTGATCTACACAGTCAAATGCCTTTGCATGTTGTTGTTGTTATGTGCCGTCGAGTTGCTTGCGACTCATAGCAACCCTATGTACAACAGCCCTAAACTCCGCTCTGTCCTGTCCCAATCGCACTGTCTCTAACACTCCCATCCCAATTATCCCAGTCACTGAATCAATCCACCTCATAGAGGGCCTTTCTCTCCTGCGCCGTCCCTCCACCCTCCCAAGCATGATGTCCCTCTCTAAGGACTGGTCTCTCCTCACAACATGTCCAAAGTATGTTAGATGGAGCCTCAGAATCCTTGCCTCCAAGAAGCCACCCGGTTTAACCCTTTCCAGGACAAATCTGTTTGTTTTCCTAGCAGTCCATGGTATTCTCAATACTCTTCTCCAGCACCACAGTTCAAAGGCATCAATTCTCCTTCTATCCTCCTTGGTCATTGTCCAACTCTCTGATGCATAACAAGTGATTGCGAAGACCATGGCCTGTATCAGACACACCTTAGTCTCCAGAGAGACACCATTGCTCTTCAGTACTTTGGAGAGGTCCCTAACAGCAGACTTTCCCATGGCAATGTGCCTTTTAATTTCCTGCCTGCTGGTGCCAAGACTGTTGACTATGGAGCCAAGCAAACTAAAGCTGTGTACAATCTCAATCTCTTCACCATCCATCCTGATGCTGCCAATTGGTCCAGTGGTGAGAATCTTTGTCTTCCTTGACATTGAGCCTCAATCCATATTGTAGGCTTCAGTCCTTGACACTCTGCAGCAGGCGCTTCAGGTCCTCTTCAGTTTCAGCAAGCAGGGTTGTGTCATCCGCATAACGCAGATTGTTGATAAATTGTCCACCAATCTTGACCCCACATTTTTCCTCATAGAGCCCAGCCTCCCGGATAATCTGTTCTGCATATAGGTTGAAAAGGTATGGAGATAGGATGAATCCCTGGCGTATGCCCTTCCCAATTTGAACCATGCAGTGTTCCCTTGCTCTGTTGTGATGACTGCCTCCTGGCCCAAGTATAAGTTTCGCATTAGAACGATCAAGTGTTCTGGGATCCCCATTCTTCTCAGAGTCAGCCATAGTTTGTTATGATCTACACAGTCAAATGCCTTTGCATAGTCAATGAAACACAGATAGACATTCCTCTGGTATTCCCTGCTTTCAGCCAAGATCCATCTAACATCAGCTACAATATCTCTAGAACCACGACCCCTTCTAAACCCAGCCTGGACTTCTGGTAGTTCTCTGTTGATGTGCTTTTCCAGTTGTTTTTGGATAATCTTCAGTAAAATCTTGCTTGCATGTGAAATCAGTGAGATTGTTCTGTAGTTTCCACATTCTGTTGGTTCACCTTTCTTTGCATAGTCAATGAAATTCAGACATTCCACTGATATGCTTTGCTTTCAGCCAAGATCCATCTGACATTGGCGATAATATGTCTAGTGCAACAACCTGTTCTATGCCTAGCTTGTATTTCTGACAGTTCTCTGCTGATGTACTCTTCCATTTGTTTTTGGATTATCTTCAGCAGGATTTTGCTTGTGTGTGATATTAATGTTGTTGTTGTTATGTGCCGTCCAGTTGCCTGCGACTCATAGCGGCCCTATATACAACAGCCCTAAACCCTGCTCTATCTTGTGCCAATCTTGTCTCTGACACATATATCCCCATTACCCCGGTCACGGAATCAATCCATCTCATTGAGTGTCTTCCTCTCCTTGCTGTCCCTCCACCCTCCAACGAATGATGTTCCTCTCTAAAGACTGATCCTGCCTTGCAACATGTCCAAGAGTATGTCATACAAAGCTTCAGAATCCTTGCCTCCAAGGAGCAGCCTGGCTTCACTCTCTCCAAGACTTATTTGTCCTCCTAGCAGTCCATGGTATATTCAATACTTTTATCATCCCTAGTCACTGTTAAGCTTCTGATGCATAGTAAGTAATTGCAAAGACCATGGTCTGTATCAGGTGCACCTTAGTCTCTGGACTGACATTATTGCTTTTTAGTACTTTGGAGAGGTCTCTGACAGTAGATTTTCCCAATGCAATTTGTCTTTTAATTTCTTGGCTGCTAGTACCAAGAGTGTTGTGTTATTGTTTGATAATTTCCACGTGCTGTCTGGTAGCCTTTTTTTTTTTTAATGGGAATAAGTATGGATCTCTTCCAGTCACTTGGCCAGGTACTTATCCTCCCTGCACTTAATGATAGAGAAATAGAAATCTTCTAATGAAAAGGATTTGCAGATCAAATGGGCTTGATGTACAGTTTCCCTTTGGTCAATGCCCTTTGAGGAAAAGTGTAGCTACTTATCACCTTTACAGTAAACAAACAGCATTTCCTCTCAGCATGTCGTGACTTCCCAAGAGCGGTCATGTGTCCCTTGTCCTCTCCTGTGAGACCTCATCCCAGGCTGCACATTGTCATCTCCTGGCCTCAATCCAGAATCAAAGAACAGTTCTAGATTTCTCTAGCATAGCGCATAGTGTAAAGCACTACCTTTGAACGGACACATGGCTAAATACATTCTAGTAAGAGAGAGAAAATAGTAGAGGCCAAATGACAAACAGATTTAGATTTACATGTCCGGACATATTAGGATAAAAAGCTATGTACCAACCTACAGGGAGCAGTTTGGATTCTTTTAAGTGGAAGTCTTTGATATTTTGTGCTACTTCAGTGTTATTGAGCATGTGTTTCCTTGCAGTGAATGCCAGTTGTGCACGCTTGTTATTTCCTCAACTAAATTTATTGAAGACAGAGCTCATGTTTAAATCATTCACATTAGTAGATGAGTAAATGAGCGAATGAGTGAAATGGTGCAGAAAAGACATGGAAAGTGAAGCTTGGGGAGAATCTGTTAAATTGTTTGTTCAACAAATAATTATCAAGCTTATTTACCCTTTGCTTGGTTATCACTAAGAATATAATTATTCCAAGACTTGGTTTCACATACAGTATCTTAGGGAAATAAATTATTTAAAGAAATACATTTGTATAGTTGGAAGTGTAATATGTTCTTTATACTTGTTTATTTTTTAGTTAGGGGAAGAAAAGGGAGGGGAAAATCACTCCCAGATAACTATCAGAGAATGTTTTGTTTTGTTTTTTAATTTAGGTTGTTTATTTTTCATGTCAATGAACATCTACAGAGATTTTGGAATTCCATTCATTCATTGTTGCACCCTTC